AAAAAAAAAGGACTTTTTTGCATTTATGTGAGCATAAAACAACAAAAATCAAATCATTTATATTTGTAATGTACCTAATTCAGTGCATTTTGAAATAAAAAAGAACAAAATTTACATACATGATGCAGATCAGTTATGAAAACTAGTGGGTTGTAAGAAAAAATATATTGTATCACATGCTTATAACTACATCACTGTTGTGTTTTCTTAAAATATGTTTAAAACATACTTAAATATATTTTACTGCAAATTGCATAAATCATTTAAAAATGTACCTTAAGTGTATTATAAATCAAATTACTGTGGCTTTTCTTTGTGTGTGTTGTGGTTTTGCTTTTAAAGAAATGTCCAGTCCACTAGAGCGGGTTGTAGCTCAGAAGAAGGAGGCCATTGAAGCCGTGATGGAGATGTTTGAGAGAGGAGCCGAGGTGCTGGCCAGCGCTGTTGGGGAGCTGTGTCCTCTTTTTGAAGCTTCTGCTCCAGTTTTGAGGCTGGTCTTGGACAATGTGGAAAGCAAGGAGATCACATATGTCAAAGATCAGTTTCTAGTTGTGAGGAGCAAATTAGATGTCCTCTCATGTCAGTTACAGGACATTGACTCTGAGATCAGAAGGAGACGTTTGGATTCACAGTTCTTCTCTGTGGAGGAAAATTTGCGGAACCAGTTTAGAAAATACATAGACATTCTGGAGGCTAAGCCTGAGTATAAGGAAGTCAAAAAACGCTTGTTCTTAGAGCATTTTTTCATAACAGGTGGAGAGAAAAACCTCTGTGTGCTTTACGATGCTGTGATGGGGAACAGCACATTTGGGGAACCGATCCTGGATGTTGTGGAACAATACGAGGCCAGAAACAGAAGGGTGCTGGAAGACTTCTGCGTCAGACTGAAGGAGCTGCTCTGCTTGGGAATCATCGCTCTGCTGGGATATTGTTTCCTCACTCAGGGTGAGGAATCAGAGCAGGAGAAGATTCGAGAGTGGAGCACAAAGATCCAAGAAATTGAGACGAAAATGAAGGAAACGATAGAAAGATGTGTGGATTTGTTTCCAGAGCAAGCTGAACTGGACATCAAGAGGCTTGTGAAGGAGAAAGAAAACGGGAACCTTCAGGAAACGGCCAAGGAACTGCTGGACTTCCTGGTGAAGAAGTACGACTGGGTGAGCTGGTCCATCAGAGCCATTAGGAACTTGGGCAAAATTAGCAACTTGAGAGCCGGACAAAACTTTCAGTGTGTGGCCGGACAGAATTATTTTGAAGTATCTCAAGGAAATGACACCAACCTGGTGGTCTCGTTCAGCAGCGACCCTCAGCCTGTGCCCAACGAGAGTGTAAAGCAGGTGATGGAAGGCCCTGCGAGGAAGGGAGACGCCAAAGCTGTTGTGGAGCTTCTGGAGAAGCAGTTAGCTGGGTTTCTGGTTCACGCCGTCAGTCGTCACAAGGACAGCTTTGCTCTGTCGAGCTTTCCTGAAGAGTGTCACTACTGGGAGAAACATAAGAACGTGAATCTCTGTGTGCATTCAGAGTAGATTTAGACATAAACATATAATTACTATTATTATATTGCTAACATTTTGCAACGGCAGAACTTTTACTTTATTCATGCCTCGAAAAACTCATTGTTCACTCAAAGTCATTGTTATATGTTCATTGTAAGGTTGCTATCACCTGTCCGACTGTACATTTAAAAAATTATTATTTTAACAATTTCTTTTACTCTACGAAATCAATGCATTTGTACATTTTAAAGGAATAGTTTACCTAAAAATTCAGCACATTCCGTGGAAAAAAGGGTATTTGTTTAGAACTATCTTGGACTGGTTTTGCTTGTAAACGGTGCTTGATCTGTGCATACTTCTCTCCTGATTAAGACCAGATGACTTTTTCACCAGAGAAAGCAATATTATAGATAGAGGACTTGTTTTTTAGCTGGAAGCAATGGTTTGAAGTTAAAAAGGCATTAATAATGGATTTGTTTCTTACAAACACGCAGCTTTTGGCTTTACAGGACGACGTTAATTGATGGACTGGAGTGGTGTGGATTATTGTGATGTTTTTATCAGCTATTCGGACTCTCATTCTGACGGCACCCATTCACTGCAGAGGATCCATTAGCAAGCAAGTGTTGTAATGCTAAATTTCTCAAAATCTGTTCAGATGAAGAAACAAACTCATCTACATATTGGATGGCCTGAGGGTGAGCACATTTTCAGCAAATTTTCATCTTTGGGTGAACTATTCCTTTAACATATTAAGCACCATGTAAATTCAACTGCCATATTTTCAAACAAAATATGTTGACTATTTGTGCTTTATTACTGTGCATGTTTGCATCAGAATGTTATAATATAACTGAATGTCTATCTGAAAACATTCCCTTTAAATGCAGTAGGCAGCAAACATGTAAAATGTTGTGATGTTATATAAACAAATAAAAACTGAAGCAATGCAACTGGACAGTACTGCAAAGAAAAGTGTTTCCCCATTTAGCCTGCATGATAATAACGTGAGCTGACTGTATCTGTTCCTCATCAGCCATAAAAAAGCCCACGGCAAGACGTCTCAGGAAACTAATGCATGTCTTGCACAGCAGAGAGCGCATGATTAAAATACACCCTTTAAAAATTCATGTTGGTTCAAGTTGAACTTACACACTGCCAAGAAACAACTGAGGTTCAGTTGTTTACTGATTTAGCTTTTTTTCAAGATTACATGCAATAATAAATCTAATTGCATTTTCCTGTTTTGTATGAGATGTTTCACATTAACATGACTTACAAGCGATTGTTGACATTCATTGCTATTAACTCTCTGAAGTGGACACATATAACACTCAAAGCCATGTCTAATTAAATTACTGCTTTTGTACATATGTCAGCAGTTTCTGGCCAGGGGCTGCAGAAATAGAGGGTGAGTAACCTTTCGCTGTTAATATACAGACAACGAGCTCCAGAGTGCTGTGATCAGCTCTCCAGATCCACTCATTAAGATCACTGAAGTGCGGAAGGAGGGAACAATCCATCATTTAACACTCACGAAGGCCTTAAGTTAGAATGTGATTCTATTTTATGCTGCTGCTGCTAAAAAAAAAGATGTCTATTAAAGCAGATGTTAGTGTCTTCACATAAAGACTGATGATTTAATAATAATAATTCATTGTGAAAATAGATGACATTTTTTTTCTGTTCCGGAAGTATTTTTTCCATTAATTTTTACCAATAAATTTGGGGAAAAGTGCTCAATAAAGTGTCTAAGATCATGATCCAAACAAACCAGCTGTGAGATGAATGAAAACATTACAAACTTTACAAAACATTTTTTTAAAAGTCACAGTTCAAGTTAAATTGTAATTGGAAATTGTTACAGTTATGAAGTTTCATCCCATATAGCACTGAAAATAACGTGAATCAAAAATTATGACACAATGTAAAACTACTGATTTACACGTGTTATTTTAGTAGGCCTATTAAGTAAGGGATAATGTACATCCAGCCGGTTGTTATCTCAGACTGCATTGGTATGAAACGAGAGCGAGTCCTCGATACCAGGATGACATAATTAAATAATTGTACACCATTTTGAATCGAGTTTTAATATGTTATTAGCTAAACAAACGCAAAGCTTCCACCAATAAAAAATAGTTAAAGCAAGAGTACAGCGCCGACTGCTGTTACCCGGATGAGCCTGTGTTATTAGCTTTTACCGGTTGTTATCGAGGGATAACATACCTCGGAATGTCGCGACTGACCAATCAGAATCAAGTATTCCACA